TGCATGGATAGCATATGTATAATATAAATATAATATAGTCAACATACGTGCATACATATACATATATATAAGCACACATATCCTATTTATACAATATTATTTCAATACTTAATTGAAAGTTAACATATACACAAATGAATGCTTACCAAGGGAGGTGGAGTCATCTATTTAGGCAGAGAAGATTGATCACTGACAGTATTGAGTTGCCAGTAGATGGTTATTTAACATAAGCCAAAACACCTTTTAGTTGGTTTCGTTACTGTTCTCATTTCTCTGTAGATATTGCATTCCCTTAATTCCCTTTAGCCAAAGATAACTAAGAACATATATGTAGTCAAAAAAGTTGGATTTATTACTCATTGCACTAGAGAGAACACACACCATAGAGAACCATGGAGTGTTTCAGTAATAGTGTTAAAAAGCAGTTTTAAAAAATATTTGGGCTTTTTTTGGGAGTGATTTTGGGTAGAGCCTAAGGAAACAGAGGCTTTCTATAGATTGAATTGTCTCAAAAATCAGTGCCAAATCAATGATGGGGAATCTCAAGAGATTTATTGGGAGAGCAGACTTGAATGAGGATAAAAATTGGAGAGGCAATATAGTTACAATGAATAAGAAAACAAAAATAAAAATGATAGAATACAATACAATAAGAATGAACACATTTAGCTCAGCTTTATATATGGGTGGAAAAGAGGGTTAGAGGATAATAATCTTTCCCTACAATTAGCATAAGGCAACAGATAGGGAAGTTGATTCATGCAGCTCCTTGTAGGGACCATTTTCCAGTCATGTCTCCCACTTGAAATGACTTCCTGGTGCATATAGTTTTAAGTTCTATTATGTAGGCAGGATCCACATGGTCTGTCCCTTTCTCATTTCTGGGCATCTTACTTGTCTGCTCTTTTCACAGCATGGCTGGCCATTTGCCTTCCTGGTTTAGGTGCAGTTGGTAACCTGGCTAAACAGAACAGTAGTGTTTATAACTGAACAGAATGGAGATAACTCATCAGCAGGTATTTTAAGTGGGAACTGATAGTGTCCTTTGAAAAATATGAGCAATATTTGTTTTAACATAGGTGCAGGGGCAGTGAGAGGATTTACCAGACCTGACTGAACTTCGGAGAGCTTCATAGTGCAGTGCTTTAACCCATTGCACTACCAGGGAGAACCCTGAAACATTATTATTAAAGATTTATTTATTTTATTCATACAGAACTGGGGTACAAGCCAGAGGAGTAGGGGCAGTGAGAGGATTCAGCAGGGCCTGAGTGGAGAACAGAAGAGGCAGATCGACAAAGTACACTGCTGAGGGGAGCAGCAGACTGGCCAGGAGAGGTCTGCCACGCCATGTGGGTCACCTCGGGGTGGGGATCGAACTTGCACTGAAACGGCTGCAGCCAGCTTGCAGTGCTGCATCATAACCCGTTGTGCCACCAGGGAGGGCCCTAAACATTATTTTTTAATATTTTCTTTTCTATTTCTTCAGACATAGAAACATCTTAATTAGCTATGCTTAATTAGTGGAAATTGCTTGTCTTTTCTAGAAACTTTGCCTAATGACCTTTTTTGAGCTACTGTGTGGTCTTTTAGTCATTTGTTTTATGTAGTAAGTGATTTTGAGTGAAATGCTCTTGGGATAATATGACTCAATATTGCTCTCATTTTCTATGAGGGACAACAGGATATACTAACTAATACTTTGAAAATTTTCTTCACTGTTAGGTTTGGTGGGGCCACTGAGATAAGGGTTGAGAGAACACAAATTTGTAGTAAATTTCTTTGATTGAACTAACACACCACACAGTGCTCCACAAGCTTTCTTTTTGAGAAGTACATATATTCAGTCATATTTATAATGGTTTTTCACAAGAAAAATAAAAGAAATATTCTTTCAGTGGTGTTTTTAAAAATTACATCTAGCTAAATTGTCTACTTTATATCATTAAGGCAAAACACAGCTATCACATACTTTCTTAGGGATCAGTGTATCTTACAGTGGGTTGTGCATCAGAATGAAAGGAATTGCATTTTAGCATCACTTTAGATATTCATGAAAATTCTAATTCATAGGCACCACCCTTTGGAGATTTAGGAGGAAGAGTTTGATTTTGGTTTAAAATATATGGCACGATACTAGTTTGTGCTTAAAATGAAAGTGGTAATTATTAAATATCTAGGTTACATTTCTGATACTCTTATTAAAACATCAGAATGGCATCGACAATTTCTGATACTCTTATTAAAACATCAGAATGGCATCGACAAATACTTCTCTGAACTGTTTTGAACAAAGCAGAGAACGAACAGCCCATACCAAGAAGTCTAACCATAACTGGAATCAAAAAGAAAGTATTCCTGTGCATTCCTCCACAGAGTTATTGTAAGAAAGATAAGACATCTTTTTTTTTTTT